CACTATGCTGCAGAGGCTTGCAAGTTGCTGTGAGGTGCGAAGCTATGCCACCAGAAGGGTCCTCCAAGGTGGGCAAATCTCAGTGAGCTCCAGTCTCAAGAAGACAGCCCAGGCAGAAAGACCTGCTGATTTTCATGCAAGTACTAGCCAGTGCAACCCTTATGGACTAGAACACTGTCCACCTCACTTGCTTCGGTCAAATGCTGAGGGATCCATCACTAGAGGAAGACATTATTCCTGGTGAGTTGGAGGGCCCGAGAGGAAGACATAGATTAGTAGAAACAGTGGGCTCAAATTGACCAAGCTGAAACAATGGCCAAACATGCTGGTCACAGGGAGGAGGAGGATGCAGGACCAGGCAACGCTCCATTCTGTTGCACGTGAGGGTTCCTATAAGCTGGGAGTCACGTCCTCCCGGCGACATCAGTAATTCACTACCTGGTTCATCGAGTCTAGGGAGTGTTTTAGAAGTCAGCGAGAAGATGAGAACCAAGTTTAATTCCTGCCGAATTAAATCCACCTTGACACTCTCAATTTTATTATATGCTCAGTTAATGTCATTCTTTTATTTGTGTTGGATAAAATAGACATATTTTGGTGTCTTTGTCTCTCACTATTGTCCAATAGATCAAGTACTATAATCTCTTCCAGATATAAAAGCTTCCACTGTTGAATTTAAAGTGACAGAATTAAACTCAAATGTACAATAGATTGCTTAACTTATGATTACAAAAAAAAAAAAAACAAAACACCCCAAAATGTTGTTCATTAAAACTGGGGTAGGGGAAGAATATATATTTGCAAATATAATCTACCTGGGGATTCCATTTGTTTCTATTCCCTCTCTCAAAAACCAGCTTAAATTCAGCAGTCCCTAATTAAAACTGACATGCTCTCATCATAGCGGTAGTACGGAGTTCTCAACAAGGTGACAACAGTTTAAATTACATTACTCACCCGCATGATCCATTATACTCGAATTTTCCCTGATTTAATTGCATTGCCAAATCTGTCAAGAGACAAAAACAATTTAGCACTTCATCTCCCTGGACAAAGAAGACCCTGGTGGAGCCATTTTAAACAACAGAAATCAGAGACTGGCTCCCATTCTCTGTAACGAGAGGTACCTCTGGGTCTGTTTAAGACAAACAACTGGCTCTAATGTTGAAATGACCTCATGCTCAATTTAATATACACAAATGGGTTCTCATGAACATCATGGTATAACTCCTAATTTCGCATAATTGCTTAAAACAATGGATCCAACATTCAAGTCACACGCTTGCTCAGTTAGGTCTGAGTACAGAGGTCCAATCTGGTGAGCAGTTGGCGAGTCTGTGCTGTAGGGTCCCTCAGGGGGAGCACAGGGGTCACGCAGCACTAGGGTAAAAGTCAATTAAAAATACAACAAAAAAGGGAGAGAGCGGCGAGCTTCAGGTAAAAATCAGTGGCTTAGTCCCAGTGTGGGCCAGCAGGAGCATTCTTCTGGTGGCGACCATGTTGGCAGGGCTTGGCTTATGATTCTGCCCTTGCAGTTGGACCAAATCTTTCTGCTTATCAACAGATGAAATACAAAAAGAGAGTGGCTTTTCTTGCTCTTCAAAACGTTGTGCTTAAATCTAATCTGATAAACCACAAGCTGCCTGGCGAGTACACCTCCGTAGGGTCATTTAATACACACGATCGGCTCGCTGACCAGTGGAGAAGACAACGTAAGCTCTTTAAGAGTAAGGAAATCATCGTGATTATTTCATGTTACGGTGCCCCTGCGAGAAACACTGTATGGTCAATGCAATGGGGTCACTGCGCAACGTGGTCCCTCCAGTGAGGGCTTGCTGGCCCTGGATGATGTCTTCTCAATGCAGATTTATAGAAAAGGGGTGAGAATCACAGTCTTTTTCAGTAAGTCTGTAAAGAGAGATTATAGAGGGCAGAGGTTCTCAAAGTATGGCGGTGCGATCATAAGGGAAAATGCCCCAAATCGGGGCTGGGTGATGCTTTCATGGAGCAAAGGACTGAAAAGCAAAAGGGGTTTCTGCCGGGTTTAGGGACCCTGCTTACCCACATAATCCTTCTGTGCAATTAACCACAGGCAGTGAGAATAGCTCCCTCACCTATTTCAGTGGAGTGAGTCTTCAAAGGGCTGAGAAGACTGACTGCTAAAAGTTTCTGAGCCTGTAAATTCTTATGGGAAAAGAACACCTCATTTTTCTTCCAAGGGGTACCTAGTGGGTTTGAACTGGTGATCTTGTAATTAGCAGCCCAACACACGGCCCACCAAATCACCAGCGCTCCTGAGATGAGTGACTGCGGTTGTTAGGCGACATTGAGTGGGTTCGGACCCGTAGCAACTCCGTGTACCAAAGCAGGCAATACTGCTCAGCCTTGTGCCAGGCTCACAATTGTTCTGATGGTTAAGGCCGTTGTTGCAGCCACTGCGTCAAGCCATCTTGTCGAAGAGTCCATCTTGTTCAATGCTCCGCTACTTGACCAGGCTGGTCTGTCCTGCAATATGACTAGAGCCTGTTATTTTGCTGCCTCTCATCTGATCACTAAGGCGCACTTGGGCTTCTAGCTATAATGTCAGCAGTTCGAACCCAGCAGTTGCCCCTCAGGAGGAAGATGAGGCTGTCTGCTCTTTTAAAGATTTAGAAAGCCTAGTAAACCCAATATAGGGTCGCTCTGAGTTGGGACGGCAGAGGGTAGTGGTGGACAATGATTGTTGTGATCCCAGGCTGTTAAGAAAACTTCAAATTCTTTGAAAATTCTTTTTAAGTGCCCTTATGAAAACCTAATCCTCTAATAGTAGGGGGTGGGGAGTCGTTAGATATTGGAAGCCTGCCTTTGAGTGTACTTGAGACGGCCAAGTCATACATTCATACCGCTATACTAAGATATAAGTCCTCAGACTCTACTTGGTAAGGTTGTGTCATTGTACGGCACGGCGCGCTTACGACCTTGGTGCCGATTCAATGTAAACCATGCTCCACGCCCTTTCCCAAAGACCTACGGTGACTGCACCACGACACTCAAATTCTTTGCAGATTCTTCTCATGTAATCCTATCTTGGGAAACAAGGATAAAACATGCTGATCTGAAAGGAAGACACACTAGCAATGGGCCACCAGAAAGGATGGTTAGCTCCATTGTCCCGTGGTATTCTACCAAGAATTTTACTTTCCATCCAGACAGGCGTATATTCTCTTCTGCCCTTATTATATTGCTCAACGTGGGTTTTCGTTTTCTTGCTCTGATACCACCCCTAAACACAGTGGCTTGCCAGCTATCGGCTTCCTTGAACAATGGCCCCAGTCAACGGATGTCAACTATGGGCAGCACGCTGTCCCATGGTGACATGGCTTCCTGTGGGACTCGGGGTCACTGGCCGGCAGCACCTACCTGGGGTTTGATAGTTCAGTGACACCATCTGGCAGCCAGCGTTCCAGAAAATCTGCGGCATGTAATTACTGGAATCCACGCGTCCTCCCTTGGGGTAAATGCGACTCATTTGCCGTTTGTTATAACTGTGCAGCTTATTAAGGGAAACGGAAAAAGCAAGAGAGTGGGATGTGGTAGAGAGAGAGCAATAGCTCCAACCCCAAAGAGCCGAGCAAACGGTCAACCCGAAGACAGCAGAGCGGGCTCACACTTAACCACGGTGTTTAAGAGAAAATCCTGTTTGTGGTTTATGGGATAGGCTCCCAGACCCATTTGTCCGAACACCCCCTTTTCAGAAAAGAAAAAAAAATGACTCAACCCTCCTGGGCCATGAACATTTCTACTGTATAGCCTGTAATCCAGGATAAAGTGTAAGCAGCCGCCTCTGTGGGCCGGGGATCTTTCTAGCACCGCCCACTTTGGGAAACCCGGGTTTGGAGGAAGAAATCACAGGCTGACTTTGGCATCTGCTTGGATGCCGGACTTGGACTTGACGGCGGTGACTAGTCAGTCGTCGGTCACATTTCGTTAGGCCTACCATCAAGGTGCTATAACACTCGTTTCTCTCTTCGAGGCTTCCGCGAAACAGAAACAAAAAGTGCAGCAGCAGTTCAGTCCACTGAACATAGAGGATACTTCACAAATTCAATTGCGTGTGTCTTCAAGTAGCCCAGACCGACCGATTCGTTGAAAGAAGACATGTTATAATGGATATTGCGTTCTGTAAGGAGAAGCAAAGAGGCATTAAGAATCCCTGCCACGAAACCGTCACAGAGAGACAAGCAGTACATATAAATCCTGAACCACGAGGCTCTGGAAGCAGCTGTTAGGTTATCAAATCAGCAGCTCCCACATTCGCTAACATTCTGCAGATGGACATACTGCCTCAAAAAAAAAAAAGTGTCATGAATTACATTTTGAGTCATTAAGCAAATTAGACATGCCCTAAATGCCACGGCCACCCCTGGCACATGAATTTTGGATGAGGAGGTCTCCAGCCAAGAGATGATGATAGAAAAATGTGGTAACCCTTTGTACGTTTTTGGAAGCTAGTTTCTGATGGACGGAGGTTTAATCAGGAAAGCATAAGGGCCCAGAGGGTGAGTGCTTACAAATCCACAGTCTCTCAGAGCCACCCTGTGGACAGAGCGGGAACAGCAGCACGATGCGACTACATGCGCTGGGTAAGGGGCTCCCTCCGCACAGGGTTTGGAATAAAAACAAGGTGAGAGGTACAACAGGTCCCCAGAAAACAAAAAGATTTATCAGAAAAATAAAAGCCTAACAGACACTAAAAAGGCTACTGCAGTTAACCTTTGGCGTTACCTTCAGCCACATGGAAACCTTGAAACTTTACAGGCTGTGCATAGTTGATCATGGTGGACAAGTATGGATGGATATTAGTGGTCGCACCGACATATTTATACGACGCCATCCACGCCTGCTCATCTTCTACCGTAACCAGGCCCTGCAGACACAAGGGAGGGAATCTGTATTGCCCATACTTCAGAGGGTGCGCACTTTCCACAACAAAGCATGCGCGTGCGCACGTTCTCCCCAAACTCAAAATGTCATTATTTTTTCCCTCAATTCTGCAAAAGGGTAACGTACAAAGCTCGATCTCCTTAGCTTGAAGGAACATAGTAGGAAGAACTTATTAAATCTAGCTCATAGTTTTAGGGCATTTAAAAATTTCTAAGGACTTTCTTTATGCGACGAACTATACTAAGCTTATATATCAGCAGGGATGCTTCATAAGTTCACACCCTTGTCAGAATGCAGGCCCAGACATAAGGCACCATTAGATGTCGTTCTTCAGATCACCTGACCTACACAGAATACATGAAAGTTGCATTGTTTTGCATAGACGAAAATAAAATAAAAGCTTTTAGCTCATTTCTTGATGGATTTTTTTTTAATAGACAAAAGTCAATAAAGGCTTCAAAAGTCATCAGCACGTTGTAGCAAACTATCAACAGCTAAATTTTCTGCATAGATTCAATATAGATGGATAAACTGCTCAGTCACACAATCAATTCCTGAGTAAAAAACAACAAATACTCGTCAATTTGTTCATCTTAATTGTTACCTAATGGATTTCACCAATAGAAACTTGAGCTAAATAATTAAAACAGTGTAATTCTGAAAAAGAACTTTTTTTTTTCAGGGGCGGGGGAGGGTTATGTCCTGACCCCTCAAATAAAAGTAGGGGGCTCGGTCTGATTGCTTTCTCATATGTACAATCATAATAAATAACACCATTATTATATGTCGGGCCCTGGGCTGAATTTTTTACTTGTACACCTTCATTACCAGGAAGAATTTGGTAGAGCTGGTATCAGAGTCCGCATTCTCGGTCAAAGGAGAAGACTGAGGGTTTACGGATTGAAACACTTTGGTCAGAGCCACTTACTAAATAGTAGTCGCCCAGGGTGACTGGGAAATCACTGACTCCAATCCCTAAGCCATTCTAGCATGGGCGCAGGGCGTGACTCGCACCCGCTCCAATAAGACTCCAATAAGATCGGCTCATACCCCTTACACATTAAATAGTTAGCAATACGGGGGTGAAGTAGCCCTCCAAATAAGATAGGGCCCCAGGGAGAGCAAGACAGGATTTCCTGACACTCTGAACAGTAGGAATCAAGGCCATGGCAAACGTCTGTCTGCCACTGGCATCTGCTTCCCACTTGTCTGAGAGACCGTGGATGCTTACTCAGCAAGAACACCTGGAGGGTCACAAAGAATTCTGAAGGGAAAAAGAAATGGAAAATGTGACCTCCTTCTCCTCACAAAAAAGACAAGACTTAATCATCGCAAATAAAGGTCTAGACTGTGACATGGATGCATGGTCTTGCGGAACGTCCACGGGGCTGGGACGAAGCCCCTTTCTGCTAGGAGGTGCTCTGAAGGACTTGCTGACTTGTGAGGTCACTTCAATCTTCCGTTCAACAGGCTGATGGTTATGCAGCCGGTTCTGGACTGACAGCTCCGACTCAACCTGAGAACACGTCTTATTGTGCCAACTACTGATTTGTTTGAGAATCGTTAAGTACATTAGGTCAAGGCCTCTAATTTGCTGGCCATGGTTTGGTGATTTTATTAACACGTAGTCATTCTATCACTATGATTAATTCCCATTCTTGAAAACGCTTGTAATTAGGTGTTTTAGATATGTACTATAAACACTAAGCTCGGCATTGCATGGATGGAGGAAATGAGAGTAACAAAAACAGTTAGTACACACAGTTTGACATCTGAGGGTCGCATATGGGTATCATGTAATGAAATAAAACGCACAGGCCATTAATTTGCTACCTTTTTGTTGTTTTCATGTTCAAGATCATCTGAAACCTAAATTAAAGAAAGGAAAGAATGTTTACATGTACAACAGATAACATCCCGAATCTACTAGTCATACATACGCATACTTATGTAAACAGATGTGGACATAGAAATACATGTCATGCTCCAGTATGGACTGAGTTGTGTCCTCCATGGACACAATCCTAACCCTCAGTTCTCGTGAATGTGATCATGAAGGCGATGTTTTAGAGATAAAGCCCACGAGGTAGTACATTAGTCAACGTGAGGACAGACTGAAGTACGGTGGGTCCACATCCATGGTACATGCTGGCCTTATGAGAGGAGGAACAACAGAGAGGCCCGAGGGAATGTCGCTAGCTGGAGATGGAGGCAGAGACTCCTGTGATGCAGCTACAGGTCAAAGAATGCTCATGCTTGCTGGGAACCAACAGAAGGCAATCCACCATTCTCTTCAGTTTGTTATACTGTGGTGGCTTGTGGATTGCTGTGATACAGTGTGATGCTGTGTCACTTTGAGGACTAAGGTGTGCCTGACCCAAGTCATGGTATTTTTGTCATCGCAAACCAAATGCATGTGAAAGTTGGACATTGAATAAAGCAGAGCAAAGAAGCATCCCAATGTATTTGAACGGTAATGCTGACAAAGAATATTGGAAGTACCAGGGACTGCCCAAAGAACAGACGATTGTGTCTTGGAAGAGGTAAAGCCAGAAGGCTCCTGACAAGTGAGGATGGCGAGACTGTCGCACGCACTTTGGACATGTTATCAGGAGGCAGCAGGCCCTGGAAATGGACACTATGTTTGCTAAGTAGGAGGGCGGTGGAAACGACAAAGACTCCTAACGTGATGGACGGACAGAGTGGCTACAACACGGAGCGCACACAGACCACTGGGGAGGATGGCGCACGGCGGGCCGATGAGTGGGAGCCCCCAACAGCACCTGACAACAGCAACAGAAGCCAGAAAAAAGGAAGCATCTTCTCTTAGAGACGTAAGAGAGGTCATGTCTTTTCTGAGACTGTGAATTTGGGCTTCTGGCTTCTAGCACCGTGAGAGAGTACATTTCTGTGGTTCAGGTTCACCTATCTCGTTACAAAGCCCTAGGGAATGAAGACATGGTCCTCCAGGTGGAAAGTTTATCTCTGTGCAAAGAGGCAGATTCCTCTTTGACCTTGGGGTCCTCCACCTCACTCTTCCCCACCTTAGCACTGGTCTTTATTTCCATAATAGTACTTAGCATACACTGTCGTTATATAAACATTTGACTATTTCCTTGCTTCTTGCCTGTTCCCTACTTTCTTTCCCTAAAATCCCCTTAGACAATAAACTCCTTGTGGGCAGAATGTAAGTGCATCTTGACCCTTCTAGATCATTACATTGACTATTCTAGACTGTGCCTCTCACATAGGACATACACAGTATTTTTTATAGCTATCAGTGGAAGTATTTTCATGTTTACTCCCCATGAGGAAGGAGAGATCTCACTAGTTGGGCTGGTTCTCTAACGAGGATTTGGGTTGAACTAGTTGGGGGCATATTCCCAGTGGTCTTCAATCGGCCCACCCTTGTGAGTGTGACAGTCGCCATTGTAGTCTCCAAAGCTACCTCTAGTAATGCAGTCAACGCTAGTGACATTGAAAGGACATTGGCCAGATGCGTAGGGGTCAACACCAGCGCAGGATGAATGAGCAATCTACATGTCCTTTCGCATTCTGAGTGGATCTCAAGTTCCCATGTCCATTGTAGGCCCCAGGGAGATACTTTCGTCCTTCTCAGCAATTTAAAAGGGGGAACGACCGGCTACTTATTCCTGTGGCTGTCACATTTCTGGAATGTCCTAACTCGCAGGTGCTACCTCTTGAGAGCCAGGACAGAAAAAGGACACAAAGACGCTGACCTTCTTGACGCTGTTTACAACAGCTTCCTTGTGACCCAAGTCATCCACGGAAAGTTCATTTCCAAATTTAAATTCAGGGTGGGCTTCTTCCTCTTGGTCAGCTGCAGAGAAGACAAAAGGAAAAGCTGTGAAGCCCAATGACCGCCAAGCAGGCAGACCCCGCCTGTGATTAGGATAGAACCTAAGTACTTTGAGAAGAAAAGGGTGCTAACGAAAAGACAATGAAAACCTTTCAAATGTGTAACATTGGGGGGGGGTGTCAAAACTTCTTACTACAGTCTTCACTACTTAAAGTCAAGGACCACGCCATGTTTATTTGGCTGTTTCTCCTACCTCTAGCATAAGCTGTCTGGCATACTTATGCTGAATGCAGGGTTGTGAAGTGAAAAGCTATTTCTTTCCTCCCTGACCCTACGAACGAAAGTCTCAAATACCTCGGGAGTATCTGTGATTCATAAAAGGATCTTCGGGTCTTCTGACACCTAGGGAAAACACGAAGTACGTGTTTTTTCCAAGGAGGAAACATAGCTCGAGAATTTTGAAAATGATATTAAAAGACCCCTTTGAATACCGTTGTTGCCATTGTGACTCAGGGGCTGGAAGGGCGGGAGGTACAAAGGGAAGGCCTTAGACGGTCTGTACTGCTCCTGTCAACCATTGGTCAAACCTGCCCTAGGCTCAGTCCTCAGGCTCATGCTGGAAGGGGAGCTGGAAGCAGGGTACCAAGTCAAGCAGGTGTCCAAGGAGGAGGGCCCAGGTGGTGACCCGAAGCATGATGCACCCGGGCCAGTGACTCAAGAGAGTAACAGGAATTCTGGGAGCCATCCACAGCTGTTGGTGAAAAAAGGATCACCCTCCGGAAAATAAGCAACCCACTCACTGGTATGGGATCTGCGGCCACACCAAGCCCATTCTTCAGGAGCTTCAGGTGAGGAACTGGCCTAAACCCAGCCTAGATCAGGAGAGACCCACGCGAGGCAAACACGAAGTTACACTGAGACAACACAGGGCATGAAGGAACTTTGCTGTTTAAAAAAGAAGCAAAAGTAATTTTGGAGTATTGCTCTCACAAGGGAGATGAGCAGAGTTACAAGAACTGGGGATTTTTCCCCTGGCATCTTTAAAGTCTCTGGAATGAAAATCTAATAACAGAGGTGAAGGAAAATCATTTTGCTGACTCTAAGATGCACCTTCCCCATCCTCCTTGGAACACTTTTGACATTGGAATGCGCCCTTCATTCTATGGCATCTAACAAATCAACCGGAGGGAGTTTTCTTAGTTTACAAGTAGTGGAGCCTTTCAGATGGTACTATCATATCTTGGGTCAGGAATTTCTCGAGGGACTTCCATGTGTACGGTGCTATGACAGTCATGGGAAGTGGGAGTGGGTGAGGAGACAGATACCCTCCTCTCTTGCAGCTGTGGAGGAGAGGTTGACCATGGGGGGAGAGGAGGGGGAAGAAAAATCCGAAACAATCAAAGAACCCAAAGTAGGTCATAAAGGTGTTGGGCAGAAATGGGACTTGTGGAGTGAGACTAGGTCTTACAATAAACCAGTCCAGTGTCCTCACCTGACTGATGAGGTACGAATTCAGCAAAGGATTTCCCTCGTCTGAGGTCACAGAGTAAGATGTGGGCCTCGGATGCTCCTGATTTTTCAAGCTCAACCATGTATTTCTATTTCACATGTGTCTAGTCTCACCTCATAGCCAGAGGCAAACTACTTGAAGACACAGGGTATGTGCAATTCAACTGTTAGAGACTTAACAGCTATCTTTAAAAACTTGTATACGTGAATTTTATCAGCTCTCAGGATGGCACGCAGATTCAGGCACACCCACAAACGAGCACACCTTTGGATATGCCTACAGGTCATCTCCCAGTGCAGGAGCTACATCTTTCTTGACCTCACCTGATGACCCACACGGGCAGAGAGCTTTTTTGCTTTCTACAAGCCCTGGGCCTGACCTCTTGAATCATGCTTGCTTTCTCTTGTCTGCTGTGCTGATGTCTCTAAGTTAGAGACTAGAGTCTGTTTATGTATACTAAAATCAAGGGGTTGTCACCAGTGTAACCACGTTCAACTAGTCGGCCAGAACTAAAGCTAACTAATGCTTTCAAACTTAAAATCATACACATTAACTGGGACAGCAGAAGCCTCTGAGTGCTTTAAGAGAAATCCAGGTGGATGATTCTCTGGTCTCAGGTTTTTTCCACCTGAATCCTATCCCATGGGATTATTTCTGTTAAGATTTGGTAAACAGCAAGTATAATTTGGGGTAACATGGAAGTCTCTAGTAGCAAATATTCTTCTGCCTATCAGCACAGTTAACATATATGCATAGAGGTGTCAGAGTAGCTTTAAGGATTAGGGGAATCCCAGTGACTCTCAGTTTAGATTACTCGGTGTATTTGGGCCACTTCACAGCTCTGGCTTTACTCGGTTACAGTCTTTCTCTTTTAAAAATATTTTAACAACTTTTTAGCATACTTGTGTTTTTAGCACATTCCTTGGCAGCTGTGGGATCATGTAATGCTTATAGTACCTGCCTGAGCCCCAAATTCCCCATTGAAAAATGACAGTGATGCTGCCTACTTCACTTATGGATGAAGGTGAGACAGGGATGTAAACTGCACGGTCCACAGTTGCTACAATAATGGTAGTCGGAGTTGAATTTCTTAATAATATATATATATTTTTTTGTCTTGCTGCCTATTTATTTCCACAGTTTGTTTTACTGGACTCTAAACCCACCCAAATTAACTCTTGGCTTGATTCTAGCACACAGCATACTATAGGACAGAGCAGTTCTGCTCTAGAGGGTCTCCGGGCTGTAATCTTTACAGAAGCTGACCGCCCGGCTTTCTCTGGCAGAAGGCTGGTGTCTTTGAATGACAGGTTACAGGTGGGTGGTTCACCAATGTGTCACCATGTCTCCTTTCAGTGGACTAACCTAGTAATGCCATACATAAAAAAAAATATCTCTAACACCTACGTTAAGGAACTGATTTTATTTAATGTCAATCTTTTGACATTTTTGAGGTATCTTATTGATCCTTTGAATTAGGTTTCTTCCAGTTCGCCAAACGAAACTCTTTGTTTAGGTTTGTCATTTGACAACGTGTGAAATCATATAGGCAGCAACGAGGCAGGCGCTGTTTATAGACGGCTGCAGGAACGTATGCCCTCCCTGTACTCCTCTGCAGGGTGACTGGCCCCGGGCTACTTCCTTGCACTCAGGTGGACCCGAGGCTGCTTTGAGGAATAACCTTTAGAGACAATGGCTGAGCTCCAGGTGGTTTGCTTCTTGCCCCTTGGAATGTTGGTTCTTGGGATGTGCTTGGGATGCTCTGCCCAGCTGGAAGGAGCCCAAACGCCATTGGGAGGCCACACAGGATGCTTCCATAGGCAGGCCCAGTGAAGCTTCTTGCCGACAGTCGGCATCAACTGCTAGCTTAGTGAGTGAGCCATCTCGAACAACAGGCACAACTGAACTTGCAGATGAACTTGGTCTGACACGCCATCTGGTGGCAACTGCACCAGGAGTGCTCACAAAACTCAAGGGAGGAGGAGACCTAAGGCTGCAGCTCTGTGCTGCGGAGTTAACGCCGGTTTGTGGTGACCCTGTGTCCACCAGAGCAACGAAACGCTTGGTCCTGTATCATCCTCCCGACCGTTGCTGCTTGAGCCCCGTTTGCATCCACTAGGTGAATCCCTCTCGTAGAGGGTCTTCCTCTCTCACTGACTTTCAACTGTACCTTCTCTCGGGACTGGCTCCTCCTGAGAACAGGTCCAAAGACCGTTCGACAAAATCATGTCCTCCGTGCTTTGAAGGAGCAGCCCGCCTGTACTTCTCCCCAGGCAGATCTGTTTCTTCTCTGGCCAGTCCCTGGGCTATCCAGCATCTTCACCACGCCACAATTCGGAAGCCCGGCTGTTCTCTGGTCTTCCTTATTCACCGCCCAGCTTTGACGTGGACACGACGTGACTGCACAGTCCGGGTTTGGTCAGGTGTGCCTGAACCTGCAAAGCAACAGCTTTGCGTTTGCACCATTTAAAGAGGTCTTCTGGGAATCGACCCGAGGTCGGCGCGTGTGGTCTTGGCCTTCGTTTTATAGCCAACACAGTATGAGAAAGGAGTGCGTGGGAGAAATAAGGGTGGAGTGTTATTTCAAGCTCTACATTTGGGGTAGTTTGTTAACAGTAGCAGGAACCCTAACCGGCACAGAGTAGAAAACGTCTGGTGTGCCCTCTGACAGATAAATACGAGAACGTGACTGCTGCAGGAGTGGCATCAACGCCACGTCTGTCTGAAACCCGTCACTCACGGAGCCCTGAGGGAAGTGCTGCCGGACTTGCTCTCTCGCTTGCTGCCTGGGACTCAGTGCAGACTCGCAGAGCCTGCGCGGGTTTCCTGAGGCTGTAATTCCTTACGGAGTAGAAAGCTGGTGGTTTTGAACTGCCAACCCTATGGATTGCAGTTTCACAAGGTCCTGACTAAAATTAGTAAATTCCTCGCTTTCAGGTTTTTACTTCTGATTCCAAGTTTTCCTAAAATGCACTCCCGTGTCGCACGTGTGGGCTAAGCCATGAGAGAGTATCTAAAGTATTTCTAACAGACGGCGGACCTGACGTAGCATGGAATCACTGGAATGAAACGCTTTTTAAGTTGGAAATTACCTGTGTAAGGTACCACTGAGAAAAAAGAGTTTCTTCAACATTACTAATTGCTTCAAAGGTCCAATGGACCATGGGAACACCAGCCTCCGTGATCCTACGACCAGAACTAGACGGTGTCTAACGACCACTGCTGGCCACTCTCAAGGGATCAAAATAAGAGGCCCTGAGTAGAGGGGGGGGGGGGACGACTAAAAACAAAACCCTAAAACAAGACCAGGCTTATTGGTCTAGGGCAGCGGTTCTCAACCTGTGGGTCGCAACCCCTTTGGGGGTCGAACGACCCTTTGACAAGGGTTGCCCGATTCATAACAGTAGCAAAATGAGAGTTATGCAGTAGCAACGAAAATAATTTTATGGTGGTGGGGCGGGGGGATCACCACCACACGAGGAACTGTATGAAAGGGTCGCGGCACAAGGAAGGAGGGGAACCGCTGGTCTAGAGACAGCTGCAACTCAGGTCCATGGCCCCTAGCGACCTCACAGGGCTAACAGGGAACTTATTCCCAAGTCCAGCCAACCAACAGACAGGCCTCTTAGGTGAGCAGTGACACCAGAAAGGGACTCATTCTTTACAACAGACGGCCATAGGGATGGAAGGGCGGCAGGTGCCCATGGAGAAACTTAGAAGGCAGGAAGCTATGGGAAAGAAAGACAAGGAAAAAGAAAAAGAAAAGGCAAACACAGGACGCAGGAAGAATGCTGTCCCATTACGGGGACTAAGATCCACGTCAAAAGTCAACATGTGTAAGCGTGGTTAAATGGAAATTCGCTCTGTCAACTTCCACCCACGTCACAATACGAAAGTTTTTGTTTTTTTAAAAAACATGCAACTGAAAATAAAGCAGCTCACCACTTTCAATTTCCTCTTCGTTATCATCCTCTAAGATGCTCACGGGGGCTGCCGATTCCCCAGCTTCCATCATGCTTTTCAAAGCTTCCAGCTGTTCTGTGATTAAAATCCAACAAGAAGGAGGAGATAGTGAGATGCATCAGATCACTTAAAAAACCTGAGCTTTTAGGTGGACATTAAGGAGGAGATGAAGGCAAAGAACCAGTCTGGGTATCTCTTGGCCACATTCTTAAGTGTCAGCAGTGGCCCCCATGTCACCACCTGTGACCCTGAAGCCCCTACACAACTACATACACTGTATGCACACCATAAAAAGCGACTGAAATGTGACTGGGTTGTCCAAATCTCTGGTCACTACATTTAAGAGAGTCACTCAGTTATTGTGATGCACTCAAGGCTGGATAACAAAAGCCCAATGGTTTGAAAAAACAGACAGTGACCCAGGTTTATAAGCCATTATTGTGATGATGTAACAGAACAGAGACACACATACTGGGAACTGCAACTGATGGGTAGGCACGTAGAGGGACAAATCACAAATGGCCATCCAGAAGGAAAACTGTTAGTAGCAACATACAAATAAGCAGATGGGATGCTACTTTTCTTCTGTTAGCTGGCCACACACACAGAGGACAGTCAACAGTCAGGGTTAACCGTAGTCCTGAGAAACAGCCCTGAGTATTGTTGGGGAACGTGCCAATCGGTACTTTTCTGAAAGCCTAACAAGATACATCTGGAAATAGACATGGGCTGTGACCATGGCCACCCTGGGCCACTGAGTCATCTCCACCCCCTTCCCACCCACCACGCCAGCGGAGAGCTGCTCTAAGCGTTCTGTGGGCTGTACTCTGTACAAGGGTGGATGGTGAGGTTGGCTGGGAGGTTCAAACCGTCAGCCTTATGGTTAGGAGCAGAGCGCTTAACCACTGCACCACCAGGGCTCCTTATGCTTTAACTAAGCAACCTCAAGGGTCCCAACTGATTCCAAGGAAAAAGCATCAAAAATGTGTACTGTGAAAGTATTCATACAATTGTTGTGTTTGATGCTGAAAATCCATCCACTTGGGACTAGTTAGTAATATGACATTCACTGTAATGAAATACAAATAGTGCTGCATATTAAAGTAATTACGTAGAATTAAAAACCACTGGGTGTAGGTATATGTGACTGGTTGAACCGATAAAGTAACCGTGTGTTAAACACACTTCCATTAGTTAAAAATGTATATATGTCAAAATAGGCTTACCTACATTATCTCTATGACACCTATGTATGCATACATGTGTATCTTTGTCTACATGTAATACAGCTACTTTATTATTTTCAGACAATTTTGTTTGAATTTTTCCTACGACATCTTTTTTGTCATAATAAAAATAAAGTCACTCATATGAGGTAAATTTATTTTATTTTAGAACATGGGGGAAACCGCAGTCACACCAATATTTGGTGCTATTAATCCACTGAGTTTGGAAACATACTAAAAAAAATGAAAACTTCCTCTAAAAAATATTCTCTCTCTCCACCCGTAGAAGCATGCTTAGAAACTCATAGATTTGGCTGGGATCCCCAGACAGGCACATATCACATGGGCAACCCCCAGGCGGGCTTTTCCAGAGGGCTTTGACTATAGAAGCTGAAGATGCCAGCTCCTTCTGTCTTGATAAATTCTCAAAGGCCCCTTGAGCTCCTTGAGAGCCCGGCAGATGAAGATGTGCATATGCTTCTCTAGGGGCAGGGATAAACAGACCTGGAAACCCAGCGGGAAATGCGGCAAACTGACTTCGTGCCCAGAAGCATCTACAACACCCCTGCATCCCTCCCCCAAAGAGCTCAGAGATGTTAATCTAGAAAGCGAACTGTCCAAGCACATCGTGTGTGTGTTGGTCTTACTTTTTTCAACTTCGGCTTTCAGCCGTTTATTTTTGATGAGTATTTTCCTTTTCAAGTCGTTGGGGGATGGCAGGGGCCTGCCCGGTTCGAGCTGGGGAGAAACAGAAAGAGGCTGAATGAATGAATGACCATTTCCATCCCCGGTCATGCAACCCAACATCCACTAGGTGGCAATCAAAGCAATTATTTAAAATTTCACTCCTGACAGAAGCCAGCCCACCCCTCCCACTCTGCCTGAGAACAGGGCTGAGGGTTTGAAACCCAGGCTGCGGTTTCCGAAGGTGCATAGCTGCTCCACTTCCCCAGTGGCGTTAGATCCGAAGGTTTACTGCTCAACGCCAGACCTGAAAGTACCAGGAAAGTCAAGGTAACATGAATCTGTATGGTGTTCATTACCTTCAAAACTCATTTCCCAGAGACAATCCCAACTCAGAGCGGCCCCACGGGACCGAGTAGAACTGCTCCCCATGAGGGTTTCCAGGACCACAGATCTGGACGGATGCGGGCTGCCGCATCTTTTTCGTGCGGAGCGTGGCTGGTGGTTTTGAACTGCCAGCCTTTTTGTTAGCGGTCCAATGCTTAACCCATCACACCACCAGGGTTCCTTTCCCCACATACCACGGCCTGTGTTCCATGTCTGCAATCCCTCAAACGAAACACTGGCCAGAATGCTCTTCTTTCGAGAAGCCTACTGCTCCCAATCCAGACACATTGCTCAGTACCTTCCCCAGGCCTGGGCACCTTCTGTTTCGGAGGCATGCTTCCATTTGTGTCCTGTGGAGCCTGGCCTCACCCTCCTACCCCAAGAGCGGTGAGAAGCTCTTTAATTCAGTTTTTAATTAAAAGCTCCCATTTGCATCACCTGTTTTTCCTACAGTCCTGTCTACGTGGCATGTGTGTACCACTCTACTAAGAATGCAGTAGCCTTATCGCAGAAGCAAGTTTCTTAGCCCAACCCACATCATGAACAGAAGGTCTACATAAAGCCAATCAGTCACTCAATTAGAGATTTTCTTAAAATGGATATTCTTAAGATGAGTGTCTAAGACAAGGATGAAAGTTCATTTACGAGGCAACCCCAGGAGACAAGAGCAGAGGGCAGTTGCTGCTGGTCAGCTCCGCTGAGTCTATTCTGACTCACAGTGACCCTACAGATCACAGAAGGACACACCGCCTGGACCGCCACCCTCCTCACAGGTGATCTGAGGTTTGAGCTCCGGGTGGCAGCCTCTGTGTCAATCCATTTTGTTGAACGCTGTCCCTAGACTAATACAAACGCCTTCCTTTTCTCCCGGTCCTTCCACTGTCCCAAGCATGGTGTCCTGAGCTACCAGCCCAACACCCCCTGTGGGCCACTGGAGCAGCCCCTGCAGCGGAACGTTGGGAAGGAGTGGAGAGGGAATATGTGCACGGGGGAGCTGCTTCTCGGCCACTGCCTTTCATGTGTCTTTTCCTCCTACACATCCCCTCTGTACGCTGAGCAAATAATACAAGAAACCACAATAGGGGAAGTCGAGTACTGCATTGGGATCAGAAAACGACTCACTGACAGTCCTGCAACGTGCAGGTACCACAGCCTTATTGGCTGGCCGTAAAGAGGTCTTGAGGTGCTTAGTGACGAAATCAAAGTTGTCACTTTGAGGACTAAAGTGTCCTTGGCCTAAGTTATGAGCTTTTCAATCGCCTCCTCTGTACGTGATCACGAGTAAGGAAGACAGAGGACTCAGGGGCTTGCATTCTAATGTTGGCGAGGAACGTGGCAAGGCTTAATTAAGGACTGCCCTGGAGGAGGGGCTGTCAGAGTGCTCCTTGGCGGTGAGGACGGTGAGGTGGATGCTGGGCATGTGAACAGGAGAGACCAGTCCCTGAGAAGGACCTCCTGCTTGGTCCAGTTGAGGGTCAGTGGAAAAGAGGAAGACCCTCCACTGGATGAATGGGCACAGTGGCTACCAGAAGGGCCTCAAACACAGGTGCGGACTGGGCCGTGCTTCATTCTGCGGGGCAGCACAGAACTGCTGTGAGTCACAGCTGACCCCATGGCACCGGACTGCGAAGACAAGCCGTTGTCTGGGAGTTGGGCATGTTATTGCGGGTTTTTTCCAAAGCAACACACTCCCATGAGTTCTGAACCTAGAAACTCAGACTTACCTAGACCACCCCCACCCCACAAAATAACAACCCCAACCCACTGCCATCTGGTTGATTCTGGTAGTAGCCCTATGGGATTGATTTGCTCCATTGAGTTGATGAGACTGTCCATCGTGACAGGAGCGGGGCAGTCTCATCTCTCACCTGTAGAACAGCTTTTGAGTTTGAACTGCCAACCTTGCTGTTCACAACCCAACACTGAACCCACTCACAGAGAGCTTTTCAAAAGACCATGCTCAGGCCCTACTTTGCATCAATGAAATTGAGAGCAGGGCCCTGGCATAGCTCTCCAGGTTGATTGAACACGTAGCTAAAATTGACAGGCAGTGCCGAGTCTAGACCAGGGCTTCCAACTCTTTCAGTCATGGCTGATGAGGTAACATGCGGGCAGACCTGAATTTGTAAAATTTTGGAATGACAATCAGAATGGGAAAATTACAGATCGACTAGAAACGTAACCTCCCTTTTAGAAAACAAGGGCCTGGTGAGTGCCCGTTCTTTCGCCCTGTAACAGAGGCAGAAACAGCAATTTCTAGTTCTCAGGTGGTGGTCTACCTCACTCTCCACAGGCCTGCCCACAACCCGGTCTTCTGCATCCAGTTCCTGAGAGGGCACGCTGCACCTCTTCCAAATCCCCTATTCCAAGGCTTCAGCTTGCCCTTTTTCCCGTTCCACGTCCCATTCTGATATATCCATATAATACAGATTCAGATCTGTTCTGATGGGGCATGGCTGCTCCAAACTTTTCTTTAGACCCTTGGCCTTATCAAGGACCTTATGAAATTTCAGGATGGAAAAGCAAAAGTCCTAAGACTTTAGGGTCTTCCAAACCATATGGAACTATGTTTATTTTATGTGTCTTTCTATATATCCCCCTCCAGCACCACAAAAGCTTTCTGTACCAAGACATTTAAATAAAGATGAATATCTTTAGCATTAGTCCTCCAGTACTACTTGACCCTTCAGAAATGAATTTCAAAACAAGTCCATTCATGCTAGAAATATGGTTAGCTAAAAATACATACTGGATGTGATTCAAGTGCTTGTTTCAACAGGAGGTCCCCAAATAGATCTTCGCAATATTTGGACATCTTGTACTGTTGGTATTTGCTGGAGAGAAAGAACTGGCATTTGTGAATTCAAACATCTATTAACAGTCCAAGAATAAGAAGCACCCATTCCTACACAATTAAAACCTCCCACTCTTTGAAACGCATGATTGTCCTCTTGATATTGATGTGAGATGTGCTTTTAAATACCATGCACTAGCTGGTACAATTAAAAAATGGAGATTCCATTCCAACACTAAGAGTTGGTAAAAAGAATAAGAAGTCCTTTTCAAATTAATAAAGTCTGCCATAAAATATACTGTCAAATCTTCCACCACTCAGGTGTCCTAACTTCTGACCTTTTGCTTAGAGGGAACATTAAAAAAAGAAAATTAAAGCAACCTATGTATTTTTTGTTTATTATTAGTAGTAGTATTTTCGTCTAAGACTGTATGCTTAACCGGAGAATTATTCAGTATTTAGCATATCACAAAACAAACTATTTAATTGCTCCAAAAGCTGGAGAGCAGGGGTGGCGTTTGGGAGACAATACTTCCTGGTTTGGAGTAGAATGAATAATTATACCTGCAGTGATTTTCAAAGGAGAGAATTACAGGATATTCTGATGTGACAAATGCGGTTTCCTTGATGGCTTGAATTACATCCTTTAAAGATAAAGAGAGTTGATGAGAGAAAAGGGAAAAACTTTAAAGGCACCTAAAACTATTCAGAGGCTCATTCATACGGTCTTTTAGAAGTCAATGGCTGTGGTTCAGACCAGGGCATCACCTTTACATTGATAACTACAGACTGAGTCTCCTATGGTTAGATCCCGGGCCTAGTTAATGATCAATAATTATTTTCTTCCAGGACTATCTTTTTCTTCTCACAAATGACGGAGCTATTACTTTACAAGCATTTGTTCTAAATGGTAAGCCAGCTCCTGGCTTGATAATCTGCCAAGACAGTAGTTCGAAGCTCACCATTCTCAATGAGGAGCAGGTAAACGGTTACCCGCGTTATTGTCACTACAGACCACTTTTCCTTTCCTTCTACCTACAGGAGAAAGATGTTGGTAATGACCCGATGATGTTGGAAGCTTTCAGTAACAGGCCCTGTTTCAGAGTCAGTCCTGGGCTAGGTTGCATTAACTTGATGTAGCCTCGCCTGTGGATGGATATAGCATTTGCAATAAGCCTTGTCTGGTATTGGAATTAGCCCAGTGAAAAGTCAGGTCATGCGTGAGGGGTCCCCCTGGTTGGTGAAGCAGCATGTAGAAACAGGGAAGGGTTGTGAACTGCTTGATTGACAAGTTAGCTCAATTACTTGTTATCCTGTTGAATGCGCTGAACAGTTCCTCTCCAAACTAAACCCAGTTGATTGTGATTCATAGTAACCCTATAGAGGGTTACCAAGGCTGTAAACCTTTATAGGAATAGTGACTCTTTTTCCCGTTGGAGTGGCTGGTACATTTGAACTATTGACATTGTGGGGAACCACCCAATATCTAACCCACAGTAACCTCTGGGCTTCTTCATGAAATAAAATCCCAGATCAAACTCACTACAATTGAGTTGATATTAGCACATGGTGATCTGATAGGGCAGGGTAGAACTTTCCCTGGGAGGTTCTGGGACTGTTAACTCTTTATTGGAGTAGAAAGCCGTGTCTTTTTCCCCAGGAGCAGCTGGTAGTTTTGAACTGCAGACCTAGCAGTTCGCAGCCAAACATGTAACCACTACACCATTAAGGCTCCTTATGAAATAGGATAAACTTTAATAAATGGCTGGATTGGTTCTCTGCTTAGCTTTAGGAAGAATGACTGCAGATCAATGTTTCTAAACTGTAGTCTCCTGCTTGGTAAAAATTCCTGAATTCTTATCGGCTTATAGCTAACCTCAGGGCAAGTCCCATCTCGCCATCATTTGATTAATCAAGAAAAGATTTTACATTCATCATCTAGGGAAATCCACTTGAAATTATAAAGATAAAGTTGGATAATTCTGGAGTCTTTTATTCAAATAGCCTCATGGCTGAAGTGGTTATTTGGGAATTGTTGCTTCACATTACTTCCAAGGTGAAAACGTCTATGATCTTTTGAGATGACCAAGAATTATTCCTTGAGCTGACCAAGAAATACTCCTTCAACACATCTTACTTCTGCCCTTAGGTTCTTAGTGGCTCCTCTACAAGTACAGGGGGCAAGGCCTTCTTTTTAGCTACGCTTCCATGTTACACTCCTTAATTCTCTAAAAAGAGTATCAACCTTTGTTTCCCCTCTGTTTTAATAACTGTGCAAACTCATTGCTTCTCACTTCTCAGGGAGCCAATTGCTGTATTTGTTGTTGCTCAAGGCTCACCAACATCTTGGATAAGACAGATAATAGGACACCAGCCTATGAAACCACGAGGTGTCGAAGGGATCAGGTATAAGGCATCATCAGAACAAAAAATCTTACCATAGTGAATGATGGGGGGAGTGCGGAGTGGAGACCCAAAG